AGTTTTCAAAGTTGAAGAAATTTGCTTCTGGTATGGCATCAGTGTCTGGAACAACTTATGTCTGTGAACAAACATTTTCAAAAATGAAGTATATGAAGTCAGCACATCGAACAAAGTTGACTGATGAACATTTGAAAGCAATTCTCTTGGTTGGATGCAGCAATTCCAAAGCAAATATTGATGATATCTCAAAAGCTAAACCCCAGTTTCACAAATCTCACTAACCTTTTTTGCTGCTTAATTTGTGAGATTCGGATATGTGCGCACTGGGTATGATATAACTGTCTTATTGCTAACGTCGCCTTCTTTGATAACTTTTTTGGTAAATAAACATGTTTGTTGTCTTTATTTTTTGTGTATTCACTGTATTGAACAAAATGATTATGCGGCTTGAGCTCGTCATTCTCTCAGTTATCTGGCCCGCTGTGAAAAAAGTTTGGTGACCCCTGTTCTAGAGGAATAAAGTGCTACATGAGTGTTTCTCAAGTCACTGTATTGTTGTAATAACACATGCAAGATCAAGTGCCTCGTAAGGTTTCTTCCAGCTTTTCACTTTATATACTTTCGGAAGCGCAATTTATTATAATACATTGCACACACACTTCCAATCAATTTTCTACAATATGCACTCTAATGACCATTGAAGTCGTGATTCTTCCTCTTTCCATCTATGATAAGTTATTTTTGGAACGGGTTATTGGCTATCTTATGGCATTATTGAACGTTCTTCGCATGGTTCAGTAAGAATTAATAAAGTTCTGACCACTTTTAAATGGAATTGGTGAACTGTAACAAAGTCTGAGGTTTATTGCGTTTTGTAAGCCTACCCAATCGTCTTTTCCGTTGCCACTCGCCTGCAGCTGGTAGACACAGTTTTTCCTGGATGCAGACGTTGGTACAACTTGACAAATGTGCTTTTAGGAGCCACCAAAAACAACACTCTTCAAATTGGTTACAACGTTCCTGCACTAATTCTCTGACTCCTTGAAAATTAAAGAGAATCTTCCCCTCACTCACTCATTATTTCGTAATCTGTTTTACAAACGCAAATAAATTGATTGGCTAAGAAATGTAGGTAACAATAAAGTGGGAATTTGATATATATTTGAAGACTCTTTAAAACAAACAATCTATAAGTCCTCCAGCTTATTGAACTTTGTTTTCAATTAAAGGATAACCTTTCTAGTATCCTTACAGCCTCCTATCATTGGTTGACGGAAAAAAATCCGATAAAACAAAAAAAAACAGAAATTCACTTTTACACCATCAACATTTCTAGATTGTAGTTATACTTCTTTGAATGAATATCTATTTTGAATTATATTATATAAAATGTGAAAATTAAATAATAAGAAAACAAAAACGTACGATTTTGACGTCACAAGATAGTGATTTTAAACTAAAAGTATTATAAACACCCGTGACTCCTTATTTGGAGAAATATTAGCTCTTAGTTTCTATGTTCAATTTCAATTAGAATTAGGCTTTAAAAACTTGTAATAACTAAACTAGGTTGGGAGATAGGATACACTATTGTTACTGGTTTTGATATACTATATAAATTATGTGGTTTTGATATTAAATACACAATATTATAATTTTTTTAAAGAGTATGTGCATTAAGAAAAATCGTTATAACTAGCTTTGAATGGACAAAATTATTGTTACAACTGATCTTCATAAAACATGATAATTTTTATAGGACAAAATAGTTTTCGTAATTGTTTTAGATATAGCTATATCGCGGAAAACGGTTGTTGTAGATTGCTTCTGTAAGACAAATATTGTTATGACTGGATTATACAGCGCAGAATAATTAATTCTGATTCATTACAAAGACCGTAATAAGTTGTTTTTTGTATGGATTATTGTAACCCATTTTCATAGAGTAGAGGAACTGTTATAGCTTTGACAGATCAGAACAAGACAATGGCATGTTTAGTCGACGTTAATAAATTTCTACTTTTGATTTGAACGCTATTGTGATATTATTTTACAAGTTGAAACCAAAATTAATCAAACTTCGTGTAACTGTTCTTCATTTAAACCTGAAACATTTGTACCTTAGAATGTGACCAGAAGTACAAATGTCAATGTGAAAATAACGTTCTAATGTAGTATGTTTCGTTTAGTAGAATTACTAATGTGTACTATAGTATTTTACTGATTCTATCTTAGTGTTTACATTTATTAGCTGCGGCATAACAACACATAGAACGACTCTTGTTTTTTTTATTTTCAAACTTTTAGCTCATAGCTCGGCCATCTCTTGACCGATTTGAGATCTAATTACAGTTTTGGACTCAGGAGATCAAATCCTTTCGATTGATTATTTAACCACGCCCAATAACTCATAGATTAATTGTCTCCAATCCTGCCTAAAAGAATTAAGTGCCGCGGCTATTGAGGATTCCCTCTTGTTTTTTGTTTTTTTGAAAATATCGCTTGGTTTCTTCAAACTCACTCTTTTTACGCGTAATTTTAAACGATGTGATTAAAACATGTGACGGATTTATTATTCTATATATATTTTAATATCGATGTTTGTTTCAATTTAATTTATATTTAGAAATGTACATAAATTATACTGTTAAATATGCATTGCGTAACTCCTGCCTATTCTCTAAAGTTGTAGAAGATTTTCGAGTGTAAGAATCAACAATATATGTGTGTGCGTAAACACTAATGCAGCTTTGTATTGTTACGTAATCTGAATTTTCGAGAAACTCTCCACACGCTTATAAATATAATTAACGCGACGCGCTAAAAAACAGTATCTAGTTTTGAGTTGCTGTAAATGGTGTGCTACAAACTTCGTAGGCTACAAACCATTTAACTTCAGTGGATTCACATCAGACATTAGTATTTTTACGAAAACATTACCTAACGTCATTAGTGGAAACTCGACCTGTAATCGGCGTGTGATCAATGAGAACTACAGGGCTGGCTAGCTCCCTGCTAGTGAATTATACCTACATCAACTCGAAATTAACTCGCTCATCTTGAACCCTTGATAAGATATCAAGGAAGTTCCAGACTAGAAAGAGGACTTTATATTGTTTGTAAGTTTGTAAAACTTTTGTATATAAATCATTGTTTGTAATAACTATTATTGTAAATTGTATTATTGTTTGTATATTAAAACATTTGTATAAAACAAAGAAAACTGTGTGTATCAATATTGTTGGCAAATATCAGAAATTGGATATACATCGGCATTTATTTAAATACTAAATCCAAAGTACAAGTTAACAGTTTTAGGTTATTAGAAATTGTCATACGTAACAAACAACAATCTTTTCTCATGAAATTATGAAAATTCAGAGGTTACATGGCCTTACTACTGACAGTTTCACCTTTTTAGATCTAATTGGATTACTTACTTATTTCTCTGTGTTTTGACACAAATAATTTAGAACAAGCGAGATTCATATAGTGTTGTGCATAAATGTAACTTAGTTAAAATTAAACACAATTTATGATATAGTTATTTTTAAATTCACTACCTTTGGCGAATTTTATAGGAGGGTCAACATCCTAGGAACATCAAGTTTTATACTGATATTCAGAAGCCTTCTACTCAGCACATATTCAAGATCTTATATAATCACTCAGACTGTTAAATATAACCCTGAGTTTCTCAACACTTGTGAAGTTATAATGAAGAGAATGTACCTTATTGCATCCAAGTTCTGCAAGTTTTGCAAAAGTTTTTTGTATTATTGTTATTGATATATTTGCTGTTGTTGAACCAAGTTCTCCAGTTGAAGTTATTATTACTATTAGTTGAAGACATGTTCTGTGACTCTTGAAAAAAAGTTCACAACATTATATTATTAGTGACATCTTAGTTATTGAATCAAGTTGCTCAGTTGAAGTTATTATTATTAGTTGAACTCAAGTTCTGTGACTCTTGAAAACGTTCACACAATTATAATATTAATGATATATTTGTTGTTGCATCAATCTTATGTTAATTTTACACGTAATAACGATGATAACATTCGTGGTATTTTTGTTATTGAATCAAAATCCGCAAGCCTCATACAAGTTGTGAATTTTATTGTTCGTGGCATTTTTATCTATGATTCAAGGTTTTCTAGATCTTACTTAATAAAATGACAATAACATTGTTCAAAGCATTTCTATTGTTGAATCAAAGACCACAGTTTTCACACATGTAAACAGTTTTGTTAATTATCATAATACTATTTTCACTGTTGAATCACAGTCCACGAGAATCACACATGTGAATAATTTTATTACCTTAATGCTATTTTTTACTGATGAATCTAGTTTTCGTACATCTCACATGAGCTGATGTTAATACCATTTTTGATACTTTTGTTCTTTCGGAAAGGCTTTTTCTATCTTCTACAAGTCTTATCATTGTTAGTGATTTCTTTGTTTTAAATAGCACAACAGCTCTCACAAGGGTTAGCGGTATCACTGTTGTTGGATTTTTAATATTAAGGAACTGTATAAGTCGTCCATCAGTTAATTTTATTATTGTTAATGGCACCTTTGTTGCTGAATCAAATATTTGCATGTCCTGCACGTGACATAGCAGCACCAATTATATTTGCAATGACAACGTTCTGACTTTTCAATGGTTTCACTGTTAAATCCCCGCCCACAGCACATGGAATCACACCCATCTGTCTCAGTTGAGCTACTGTTACAAAACCTAAAACAGGAAATGAAAATTAAACTTTAGAAATTCATTTTTTGAACAAACTATACTGTTGAAATACGGTTCTTATACTTATACAACTAAATCATAATGTTTATAAAAAAAAATGTATTACAATTAAATAAAGCAAGCTGAATGTATTCTTATCATGGGACTTCTTTCAAGAACAAAATGGCAATAAATAATTATTGATATATGGGGATTATTATAAAAAATATTATTTAACATGATTATATTTCCAAAAGCACTTGTCCCTTGGAAAGAAATTTCGTCAGAGGCAGATTGGAAATCACACACTATATTCAGAAAAGTGAGCAAATGAAACACGTGTTTCAAAAAAACTGTCGCAAAAGGTGTTAAGCATAATTTCTGTTATTCTCAATCAATACATTAAATCCATCACTAAACAAAGCTACTCTGTGTCTCGTCTATCCTCGACACTGTTCATTCATACTTGCTGTTTCCTGCACATTTATTCAAATAATAAGCCCTGTGTTGTTAAAAAAGACAGAGAAAGAAGATGATATAAAAACAATGAAATCTTGTGATAAAACCGATTTGAGTATGCAGCATATATAATAAGTATAACATGCTGTTCCAGTCTTTCCTGAACGATTTTCAATGTCCCTCTGGTGAAAGTTAGTTCCACTAAAACAAATAGTTTTAAAGTGATAAACATTTTAAATATGGGGTTTCCTTTATAATGACAAAGTATTTGTTTTGCTAAAAAATAAACTTTGTAAACATTACTTAATTAAAATTATCAGATAAGAATTAATTAAACTATGTAAGAAACGAATTCTTTATAACAACTTGGTAAAAGTGAGAAATGTCTGATATATCATGCTACATGAAAATATAATAATTATGTCGGCCGGCCACCAAACAATTAAGAAATAATTTTCACGCCCTGCACACTAGAGTAAAGAACAGAATGGATATTTTAAAAGATTAGAGTGGAAGAAAAATTATATGTTTAATGTGCTACTTATAATTTTTATCTAACATTAAGTTTGTTAATATAAGACAGAAGAGTTTGTTGTTGTTTTAAGAAAGACATTCTAAGGTGAAATATTTCAAGTTATTTTAAGGCTAGTGGCCTCGATATTTAGCAGGTTGAATGACAGTTGATTTCAATAAGGAACATAATTTGATGTCTTAATGAGTATGTTTGATTAAAACACGAAACACCCTTGGTGCACAGGAGAATCGTATATCAACAAGGAAATGTGTTAGAAAAAATATAGAATGACATAAATAAAATGGGTCAAAAATTACATTTCACCAAAGTAATCCAGAACACACCGTAACAGTTGTCAAACAGTTTGCTAATAGAACTAGTGCCTCAACTACTATTATGTCTGTTGTATCCCAGCCAGCCTGAAGATCCCTGTTGTTGGTCGAAAAATCTCGTCGGCATTGGATATAGCAGATAAAGTGTGGTTGACATATTATTATACATTCTTCTTTTCACTCAGAAGTTCTTATTAATAGTAAGTTAAAAGTTAAGTATTCTGCTAACAGTCATGCGTTTTTTACTTGTCTGTTCATATTGCTATATTTTATCAAAACTTGTCACTATCTTTTGTGTCACAGTACACGTTTTAATCATGAGCCCAATGCTTACTATCACAGCGAATAGGTACAATAACGATGTTCTAGTGTATTAGAAATATGATCGCGAGATTATATCCGTGTATCTTAATATAATATTGTTACGACAG